CTATTATTATATTATCCTTCTTTTATTCTTTAAAATAAAAAAAAAAAAAAAAAAGAAAGAGAGAAAGTAAAGAAAACTCAGTCCAAAAGTCTGTTTGATTTATGATTTAGGACAATAACTTGCTGATACACAGTTAACTACAAAAGATTCTGTTTTCAAACATAGCTTCCTTCAGCTTAATAAATTTATTATTTTAGATGAAAATATAAAAAGAATAAAAGGGGCCTTTAATTTACCATGTATAGAATTTGTAACAAATCTGCAGCACTAAGGTTTGAGAATGATAGTTACCCAATCAAGTTTACAAAAAATTAATACTAGAGGCTAAGACCGCTACAAGCAGCTTCTGGGAATTAGAAGGACACCTAGAAATATGAGTTGATGTCACATAATAGAGGAATATCACAATGAATTTGATAATTGCATTTATTTTTTGAAAAACAATAGGTAATAACTTTAAATCAGTAGAAATTCAGAATAGACTTCTCAAGTATTTGATTTTTGACATATGATAATTAAATGTAAACCATTGCTTTCAATATTCTTCAGCAGTATGCAAAAATCAGGCCTGATTTAAGAAATATCATCTAGTAGCCTGACTTCATTACAAAGCATCAAAAATGAATCACCATTGTACTGTAAACATGATCAATGTAAGTCTTAGGCTATGAAATGAAGAACCCACAGCACAAATCTCACCTCCTCCAGAAGCAAATATGTAGCAAAATGAACAAAAGATATTCACAGAATTGATCTCTCAGTTACAACCACATATACAGGAAACGTTTCTAACAGGGAAGATCCCTACAAGGTTATAGCTGCAGAAGGTAATGAGGTGCCTTAAAATTTTCATTTGAAAATTCTGCAAAGCCTCATTCATGGTCCATTCAATTATCCAGAAGATGTGATCTTGTCAGGAAGCAACTCCTACCGGCAGCTTGCAGTCCTACTTGAGGCTTCCGCCTGCAGGGTGCTGTATTAACAGTGCACAAGATAATACGTTATTACGTCTTCAGGCAAAGACTTCGCCTCCTCAAGGAGTCTATTCTGAATACTGTTAATCTTCAAATCCACATTTTGACCTGAATCTCCTGCACTGTTATCTGTGCTGTCTATGATAGGAAGAGAACCTTTGGATTTCACAGTAAATACGACCATCTCCCACCCGCAAGATCTGAGAAAGAGAAAGAGGGAAATACAACTTACTGCTGCCTTCAGAGCTTGATCTAAATCTTCCAGAAGGTCTTTTTCATCTTCTAAGCCCACAGACAGCCGAATCAGCGTGTCGCTGATTCCAAGGGCTTCTCTGTCATTCTTCGGCACCGATGCGTGGGTCATGACTGCCCTAGAAGATGTGGCAGATTTGGATCATTATCTTGTACCAGGGAAGGTAGATTTCTGTCTCATCTATTGCAATGACTTTTCAATTTGTTCTGTTCCAAACATCAAGTTTTTCATACCTGTATAATTTTTCGTGTGCAAAAACAAAAGCAAAATAATTATGATAATTTCTAATCATGACCTTAAGAGCAAACCAAGATTTTAAAATCCTGCTTATAACCAGCGGTAAGGTACACTCAATCCCAACACTGGAGGCACCTATCAAGCACCCCCATCCAGGAGGGAGATACTAGCCTCCAGCATGTATGGGGTTTGATCAAATTATATGGTGAATGCTTAAAATTTCAAAAATATCACAATAAAAGACACAGTGCATGAATCCCCCTCAAATTTTCCCCTCACTTTGAGCACAGGTATCTCATCATTTTTGCCACTTTCTGAAGCAGTTCTGGAAGTCATTTTCCTGAGTGTCTTTATGAAGTGTGATCAGAAATATGGTAACTGCTGCTGTCAAGCTCCATCCAACAGAATGGCAGACAAGATGGTGTCCCCGCCCACCTTGCTCACCAGCTTGGCACCGTGCAGCATCTAGCTGTCCCCCAAAGTCAAAGTGACCGTGAAAGGGAAAGGTTTTGAAGGGACTTAGGACATCCAGGCAGCCACAATAGTGCAACTAAAGACACAAAAGAGGACTTCGAGTTCCAGAACTGCTTCAGAAAGTGGCTAGAACCACGGGATCTGTGTGTTAAGTGAGGGGGAACATTCCGGAGGAGATTAATGGCAATGTATCCTTATTGTAACGATTTTTAAAATATTTAATATTCAGTATTTTTTTTTATCGCATCTCGTAGATAACAACATCAGCCTGGATGAATGAGGCTTTCTCCAGAAGCCATGTACCCATGACCACGCTGCTGGACAGCCACTTTTAAGTGGCCTTTTGGGCAACAGCTTGCAAAATTAATTCCTTCTGACACAGTGGATTAAGCCGGAACTGCCCCTTCTGAGGAGGATCAGGGAAAGACAAGCCATGACGATAGTATCAACCACTAAGCATCAAGAATCTCAGCACATGTAACCCACGACATAGAGTCCTGGAAGAACTTTTCAAGCTCACTAGCAGCTCATCGTTACTACCAACATGCATAAATGTAGAGCTGCTATTCTGTGCAGGCACTAGAGTAAGAACTAGAAACCAGGAACAATGAGGTATTTAGATAACCAAGAGCTATGACTAGGGCAATTCACAAAACAAAGTGATCTACAGAGACCTTCAAGGAAGTATGGGCAAAAGGTCTTCCGGAGCCTGGAGGAAGGGGATAGCTCTGTGGACTGAGGCACCATGGTGGGGAGACTGAGAGGCTGGACATTAACTGAAAGAACTTAACACAGTACTTATAAGTACCTGGAATATAAAGTAGGTGCCCCATGAAGCTTAATTCATAGTGGTAGTTAACGTTTACTAAATTCAGTACTTAATATGAACTGATGCATTAGGGGAGGGATTTTCCCCCCACACTCTCAGGACCACCCTAAGAACTAGGAAATCCAGATTGAGAAAGGAAGGATCTGACTGAGAAAGGACGAGAACTGCACTAAGGTTTGAGAGAATCCACATCCTTGGGCTGGGAGCTGAGCCCAGCATATGCTGTTTCCACCTCCGGCCTCCTTATCGCAGTACTGATCCCATCGCAGCAGAGTGGGTGGAGACAGAACTAAGAGTGACAACAGACAAGCCCTGACCTAAATTCTCTCTTCCCCTGGCATCCAAGCCTGAGCCGCAGTGTCTCTGGGTGAAGCAACTTTAAACCGAATTCCTCAATGAATCAGGTGGCATCTATTTTTAAGAAGCTAGCCCTTAACATAATACACACTTCATTACTATAAAAAACAAACGCGTTTCATATGCTGAGTGTGCCCCCTTGTGCACTCAGACTTGCTAGCAGGCATCTTCCTGGAAGACTAACAGGAAGGTTATCTATGTTATCCGAATTATTTCTTTGTAAGACTGTTTGGCTCTCTCTATAACCCATAAGCCACAGTGAGGAGAGAAGCAAGCCTAGACTTTGATAATCCCTGGCATTCCTCAACACACTGCTTCTAGGATAAAGGTGCCCAGTTAATACGTATGAAAATTAAAACACAAGGCAAATCATGTGTAAGTGCCTCAGTTGAAAATTATTAGGTGATGACATTGACTTCACATTGCAGTAACTACAACAGAGGTCACAGCAACATTCAATAAAGGCAAGATTCAGTTCAGAAACGTTTGGTAGACAACTACCAATAAATGATACTTGATACTTTAATTATTAACCCCATTTTATGGGTAAACAATAGGAAGCTTAATAAAAAGTTTAATGAATTGGTGGAAACATGTCTCAAATTGAAACGTAGGCTCCTGTTACCCCCCCTCACTATTTTTGATGTGAAGTCTCAAAACCAAAGTTCCTCCTTCACCACAGCTGGTGGGAGTGTAGAGTGGTGCACTGTGGCAATCAGTGTGGAGACTCCTCAAAAGACTAGGACTAGAGGTCCCATTAAACTCAGCTATTCCCCTTCTGGGTATCTTCCTAAAAGAATTAAAAGCATCATATTGATGGAGACCACTATGAAGCAACCCTGAGCAGGACTTAAATTAAGCAATTGGCTTTTCATGTTGACTTGTGAGTCTGTCCAAGGCCTAGGTGTCTTATCTGGAGATGGGTGGTGGACTCATAGTAAGTGAACCTCTGTGAGTCACTAACACCTACTAAAGCTTGTAATGGCGGATGTGGTCTTTTATATAATGGAGTACTACTTAGCCATAAGGAAGGAAGGGTAATCTTGAGACATTTCTAGGTAAATAAAGGCACCTTGAGAACACACCCTTAAGTGAAATAAATCAGACACACATGTAAATATCACATAGTTTCTCTGGTATGAGAAACTGGAAGTAAGTCAGGACCAAAATGTGTAACAAATATTGGGTAACAGGAAGAAAATATGCAAATGGGAAGTGGTCCTAGGAGGAGGGTAGGGGGAAAGGAAGGAAGGGAAAAGAAAAAAACAAGAAGAAAAGGAAAAATGAAAACAAAGCTTGTGTAAATAGGGAGGGAAAGAGGGGCTCAAGGGAAGGGAGGGGGACGAAAGAAAAAAGAAGAACCAAGATAGATCGTGTATAGGTACAAACTCCTAGGAGGAATGTGATCATTATGTATACCTAAAATGTACCAGTAAACTTAATTTAAAAAACAAAACTAGAGTCACCAACAGATTCCCGGGCAACATCTGAATCAATCACCTAAACTCTCAGGATCTTGGCTTCCTTATCTGTAAAATAAACAGCCGGACTGCATGACCTTAGACAGCTTCCTGTCCTTATCTCTGATAGAAAGCATGGTGCTGTGATGCAATAGCTGGGCTGGCTGGCTCGGGCAGCCAGCGCATGGTTTCCATGGAAACCATGGAGTGGGGTGTATCCAGCAGACAGCATGGTGCAACCAAGAACCTTGCAGGGCTCTTCGCTGACACTCGAGGGTGTGAGGCAGTTTCCACGGAGACACACTCTCTGTTATCAGGAGCCTTTTTAACAGACTGGCAGAACAGCCCCTGAGGTTTCTTCCAAGGCTGCCTGGGTGGCCCGAAGTCAGAAGTCTGAGGCGCTAGAATGTCATCACTGCTGGAATCTGTCCAAGGCAGATGAGGAAAGAGAGCAACCTTTGGATGAACACAGCTCCCTGAGAAGTAGCTCCAGCTCTGGGCAAGCTCTCCATCCTACCTGGGTTACGGTGCGCGCTGATCAGGTAGCGCCACACCAGGCTTCCTGTCAAATATCTGGGGTTATCCCTGGGCTTGGCATCCTCCATTTCCACACAATCATTAAAGCCCACTCTAGATTTAAAGTACTGAAAAATATAGAAATATACTTACGGAAGCTCAGCAAGACTTTCGTATCCTCCCAAACTCTCAGCCAGAGTAAATACCTGAAACACAGGAGACAGACACTTAGACCTTCCAGTGAAACAAAAATCCTGAAATCTACAAGTGAATGTTTCTAGTGACATGGTCCTAGCATGGGGAGGTGGAGAACAGCAGTGATTGTGAATAAACTGAATATTAGGCAAGAAACTGAGGGAAAAAGGGAGAATAATATCTGTAGCAATGATTTCACCCACTAAACAAATTATGTTTAAACTTTTTTTTTTTGGTACCAGGAATCGAACTCAGGACCTTGCGCTTGCCAGGGAGGTGCTTGTGCTGCTGAGTAATATCCCCGGCCCCTCTATATCGCTGGCCCCTAAACTTTTAAACCAGCAAATGCTTACCAAAGTGAATCTCCTACACTATCCTAATCTGGCTCTGTACTTACTTAAGTAGTATTCTACATGAACTCTAAAACTTCAAAAGGATTTTTTTATTGTTTGCTTGTTTATTGTGAGATAGGATCTTGCTATGTAGTTCAGGCTGGTCTTGAACTGATTATGGAACATTGCTCAACATGAAGCAATTCCCCTGCTTCAGCCTTCCAGGTGCTGTGATTACAGGTGTGTGCCACCACACCCAGCCTTGACCTGCTCTCTGTCTTCCTGTCTGAAGCTATCACCTCCCACATGTCATACTATTGGCCAGCAGCCCCTCACCAGAGGCCAAAGCCAGGGGGCCACCTCATCTTGGACTTCCAGCCTCCAAAACTGTGAGCTAAATAAGCTCTTTTCTTTATAAAGTGCCTGCCCCATGTGTCTCATGATAGTAATATGCTTACCCTCAGGTATAGTAAAATACCTGGACAAAGGTATTGGACAAAGGTATGGACAAAGATATGCCATAGTGTCAAATGATTTTGCAAAAAAAAGGGGCGCACCAGGTCATGATGCACACCTGCAATCCCAGCACTCAGGAGGCTGAGGCAGGAAGATCACTGAGAGTTCAAGGCCTTTGGGCTATGCAGTGAGATCCTGTCTCAAAAAAAAGCAATATGTTGTAAAATGTTGTATGTCTGTTAATGTTTCCCTCCTTTTATCTTTAAAATTAAAAAAAAAAAAAGCAACAAACAAACAAACAAACAAATCTTTTTTCCTTTTGAGGCAGGGATCTTCTCATGTTGCTAAGGCTGGTCTCAAAGTCATGGTTTCAACTGTTCCTCCCACCTCGGCCTCCCAAGTAGCTGGGGTTACAGGCATTCACCACCTTGTCTGGCTCGATTTTACAAATCCTCCTGAAACTGCTCTCCTAGTACTTAGCCCTTCCTTTCTAATCTGAGAGCAGAAGGGTTTGAGGCACCCAGGAGACTCGGACTTCATCCCACTGCAGCCTTCCTTAGCCCTGGCGCCCTGAACTCTCAAAGCTGCTCCAGGAGGTCCAGGTGAGCCCAGTGTGGAGGACTCGGCCTCTGTTGCAGGACTCCTAGAGCCTCTGGCCCTTGTGGGAAACAGACAAAAGTGCCACTGGGAGGTTGGATCTTGGAACTGCCCTGGGCGGGTCAATCACTGCATGCTTGCCTGAGGTCTGACGAAGCACAGTACAACCCTGGGTTGCGAGTAATGTTCTGCGTGTGTTCTGTAAGTTGCGTGAACATTCCTAATCAATTTTAACTTGGTAAATGAGCAGCGTGTTACAATAGCAGTAGGACGTGATGTCGAATGTCACACGATCACATCTGAGACAATGGTCCCCCCTGCAGGATGGCAGGTGATCGTCTCCCAGCAGCGAGGGGTGATGGAGGAGATCTCATCCGCGCAGCAGGAGGAGAAAGAGGAGGAGGAATCCCTCACTTCAAGTGAGACTGGGGAGCTGTGGAACGAGTAGGAAACTGCAGCATTTCGTAGAAAACATCACCTGAATAAGACTACGGCAGTGCAAGCAATGAATCTGTTTTGTGACAACGCGGTGCCACATTTCCACGAAACCCTCAAAAGGAAGCAAGTGTGGTTGGGTAACCTTCTCCTTAAAACTGCATGAAAACAAAAAGCTTCCACGGAGCCAATGGACAGCGGTGATTCCCTTAGTGACAGGGAAAGGCGTCCTACACAATAGCCCTCTCTCTCGTCTCCCTCAAACCAGCCACGAAGCTTTGCAAAGGTAAGTACAGCTTCATTTGCTTATTTTTCTTCATATTTTATATTTTCTTGATTATTTTGTACTATGTTATGGTACTATAATCATTTTAAATGAATATTCTTGGGCTGTGGAATGAATCATCGGAGTCTTCATTACTTCGTAGGGGGAAATTCAATTCAATAGACAAGTGCATATTTCCAGAATGAATTATGCTTAAAAACCAAGGTTTGACAGTATTTCATTTGAAAAAGGGTTCACTTTCAAATAAATTTGAAAGTCAGTGCATTAGAAAATTCTGTCCCGGCCAGGCTTGGTGGTATACACCTGTAATCCCAGCACTCAGGAGGCTGAATCAGGAGGATCATCACGAGTTCGAGGCCAGCCTGGGCTACATAAGGAGACCCAGTCTTTAAAAAAAGAATTTTTCTGTCCCTCTCTGGATGGTTGGAGGGCATGCAGAGTCAGGCAAAAGAACATATTCAGATGTCTGCTACTAAGCCACTGTCATTTACACCACTTTCAACCCAGTGGGTTTGGTGTTGAGGACCGTGGGTGTGGCCGGCAGCGCAGAGCCTAGGGAGAGACGGGCCGAATGAGAAGGTTACCTTCAGGTGCTTCAGGAAGGTCTCGGCATGCTGGAGAGAGCCCTTGATGTAGCAGGTGACCATCCCCGGGCAGCCTGTGCACTGCCGCTTGGCCAGCTCATGCTGCGGGTGAGAGGGCAGCCCTGCAACCACAGGGGCACAGGTCTTCTTTTAGAGCCCAGCACATGACTTCCAGGGCCAAAGTTTCATCGTCCCCTTGGGGATAAGGCCTAGTGACGAGGCCAGGCTCCCTGGCCACCTCCCTGGCTTCCTGTGCGTGTGGCGTTTCCAGCCCTCTACGTCCCGGCCACACCGCATGCTTCACCCCAGCTGCAGCTCACTGCCTTTGCGTCTCAGGACCTCTGCACGTGCAGTCACCTCCCCAGCCCCTCCTTACTCACCTCCTGTAATTCCCTGCTTAATACCAGGCATGAAGGAAAATGACGGGAGTGCTTACATTCTTAGATTTTACTGTAATGAAAGACTCATGGCCATAAATCCCCTCAAACCCTCCCTCTACTTGAAGCGCAGTGTCCCATTGTCCCGGTCACGTCCTGCAGCAGCTCCGGCATCCTCTCTCGGAGGGTCTTTAGCTGCGCTGTCCTGGCTGCCTCGATGTCCTGAATCCATTCAAAACATTTCCCTTTCCTGCTCATTCTGACTTTGGGGAGGAGCCAGAAGTTGCACGGTGCCGGATCCCACGACTAAGGTGGACGAGGACACAGCATCGTGTTTTGAAGACCCTGTCTTTACACTGGATGGAGCTGGGTGGCAGCAGTCACTGATTTTGTAGGACACTTTGTAAAGACACTCAGGAGAGAGGACTCCAGAGCTGCTGCAGAAAGCGGCAAGAATGATGGGCTAAGTGTGGTCAAAGCAAGGGTGGGGATTCTGAGCGGATTTAATGGCAATGTGTCTTGTTTTTTTTTTTTTTTTTTTTGGTACCGGGAATCGAACTCAGGACCTTGCACTTGCCAGGCAGGCACTTATGCCACTGAGCTACATCCCCTGCCAGGCAATATGTCTTCAATTATAATATGTTTTGTAAAATTTAAACATTCACTCTGCGTATTTCAACCACAGTTTGTATTTGTCTTATCCATCAGACCTACTCCGTGAAGGTAAATCTATTTCCTCTGTTAATAATTGGATCCCATTCCTAGTGCAGGCCTTGGCCTACAGCTGGTGATTCATAAACATTTGTTAGCCAGCATGGCGGCACCCGTCTCTAATCCCAGCACTCCAGAGGCTGAGGCAGGAGGATCGCCGTGAGTTTGAGGCCACCTTGGGTTACACAGCAAGCTGAAATATTATACATAGCAAAACCCTGTCTCAAAGAAAAAAAACTTGTTGAACAGATCTGAAGTCCCTGGGCGCATCCCTTCTGACAGGTGTGACAGTACTACTTGGCAGGACACGGCTCCCGCATTTTCTCACCTTCCATCCAGACAGACACCACCCAACAGCCTCTACCAAATCCACTTGGGACCCGAGCTCTTGTACACGGTTTAATCACCGTGATGGCAGAGCGGTGACCGCCCCAGGACTACATGGTGAGGGCCTCAAAAGCACCTCTCGTCAGTTCAGATTCGATTGGTTTCTGGGGTCCAGCACTGCACTGGAGCTCCAGAGGAGCACCTTAACTACATCGATTGAAAGAGAAAACCTGGAACCAGAAGAAAAGCAGGCAGAGAAAGAGAAAGGAGGACCAAGGCCTTCAACACAGAAGCGTAAAATGGAAGGAGCGCCTGACGGTCAGGAAGGAAAAAGAAGGTAAAACTATGAGTGCGTATTTGTTGCATAATCACTAACTTTAAAACAGTAGTTCTTTAGTTCACAGGTCTTCATAAGACGCACTGTCCACTGCTCTACTGTTATGTCCTGCAGAGACAGCAGGTTCATCTGTGTACCGAGCTAGAGATGCAGTGTGTACTGTCACTTTTTAAATGCAACAGCTGTGCTCAAATTGTTTTTATCATGAACACTTGAAGTAATAAAATAGGCTTCATTTATTGTTTTTTTTTTTAAAAAAGGATCTTTAGAAACCGGTTAGCCTAAAATCACCACAGTTTAAAGCCAGGTACAACACATTTTAAAAACTAACATGAAGTCTGCTAATTCCACCAAGCACTTGTAGGGGAGGGATTCAAAGGAGAAAGTCGGAGAGCTCAGGGGAACTGAGGCACATACGCATCAAGTCTCAGAGAGACAAACGTCTCCCAGATTAATGGGAGGCCAGCGCTGAACGGCAGAGTAACAAGGTCGTAAACAAAGCCCCGAAAAGTGCAGCAGTGTGCGCTCGGTGTGCGCAAGCCTCAACGCTGAAGGCCATCGCAGGAGCATGGAGGACCTAGGACGAGTTTCCTAACTCCCAGCATTCACCAGACCAAAGACCGCATCTGTCTGCTCCCCACAGCCGCATAATAAATGGACAAGTGGGGCCTGGTAGTGCACATCTGCAACACCAGTACTCTGGGAGGCTGAGGCAGGAGGATTACAAGTTCCAGCTCAGCCTGAGCAATTTCTCGACTTAGTGAGACCCTGTCTCAAAATTTAAAAAATTTAAAAAGAGCTGGGGATGTAGCTTAGTGCAGAGGCCTTGAGTTCTATTGCCAGTAAGAAAAAAAACAATAATAAATAAGTAGCCAAAAATATATGAAAACACCTAAACAAATAAATGAGGCTACACATGGTGGTACATGCCTGTAATCTCAACACTCAGGAGGCTGAGGCAGGAGGATCGCTGTGAGCTGAAGGCCAGCTTGGGCTACAAAGTGAGTTCAAGGCCAGCCTGAACTGCATAGTGAGACCCTGTCTCAAAAACATAGACAGATAGACAGACAGACGGGCAGACAGATAGATACATGCCACATGAACGGGGAGCTCTGAATGACACTTAAGTCCTCGTCGGAATGTAGCTCCTTAGAAAGCAGATCAATAAGCCGGGTAAGGGAACACCTATAATCCCAGCACTCTGGAGGCTGAGGCAGGAGGATTACTGAAAATGTGAGGCCAGCCTAGGCTACAGAGCAAGACCTTGTGTCAAAAAAAGAAAGAAAGAAAAAAGAAATCAGATGAACGTACCAGGATAGACAACCTTTTCTATCCGGGGGTCGGATTCCAGGAACCGGGCCACGGCCATTCCATTTTGGAAATGCTTCTCCATTCGGATCTGCAGGGTCTTGAGGCCGCGGATGCACAGGTAACAGTCGAGTGGGGATGGCACGGTTCCGAGAGCTGCGGAGCGAGCGCGTCTTGTGTTAGCGGTGCGGCAGGGGCCGGGACATCAGGTGCCCCCCGTTCACTGAGGGGCCTGTAAAGCCAGCTCCAGAGCTCTATGGGGGAGCTTTGGGGGGAATTGCTGGATCGAGTCAGGACATGAAAATGAAGCACAAAATGTGCTTTAAAATAAGAGGGGAGCCTAAGGCAGGAGGAGCCCCATGAGTTCAAGGTCAGCCTGGGCTACACAGGGAGTTCAAGGCCAGCCTGAACTGCATAGCCAGACCTTGTCTCAAAAAACCAAACAGTTTTTAAAAGGGGGGGCAGGGATGAATCTCCTATAAAATAAGTAAAAACACAAAAGTATGAACTTTTTAACTATGAAGATAAATAGTCCTGTGGATGATTTGGGCAGGGGGTGCTGGAGACAGGGTATCTCTATGTAGTTAAGTATGTCCTTGAATTCACTATGTAACTCAGAGTGGTCTCAAACCTCCTGCCTCAGCCTCCCAAGTGCTGGGATTACAGGCGTGCATCACCACACCCAGCTCCATTTTTTAAAATACTTACTATTTTGCAGGAAACGAAGTCGGCTATGGAGGTCTTCAGAATTCACCGACACTAAGCCCATCACCACATCACTATGACCTACAGCAAAACGAAACCGTTCGTGGGGACAATTTATGTTTGTTCTTCACTGCATAGTTCCAAAATGTAACTTTCTTTTGAAAAACAAATCTCAGGAAAAAAAGTCCGCTAAAAGAAGTTCAAGTAAACCATATTCATTTTGACAGGAGCAAAACCTATTCCTAAAGCAATAAAGTAAAAAGCATGTAAGAGCTAAATATGCTTTCCACGGGTGAAAGTTTAATCTTTGACAGTAAATTACAACCCTTTCCTCCTGAATCATGAGCATAGTTTCACCTTCTATGAATTAAATCCTATTATTAATTTTTTTTTTTTTTTTTTTTTTTGGTTTTTCTCTGGTACCGGGAACTGAACTCATGACCTTGTGCTTGCCGGGCAGGCACTTTGCCACTGAGCTAAATCCCCAGCCCCTTATTAATTGAAATATATATATTTTACTTTGTACCCAAGTCACAGATAAAACCTATATAATGGTAGAAGAACAAGGATCAAAATGTCAACTCCTACGCTCCCTTCCTGACCCTGAAAAGACCACGCAGGAAGTAGGCTGTGCGCATCTTACCATTCATGTACTTCGTTGCAGAATACATGCAAATATCAGCTCCCAGAGCCAAAGGCCGCTAAAAGACAAAGAAGGCTTTGCTTTTACATGAGAAACCATTTGAAAATACGTCTCATCATGTACTTGCAATTTTAATTCTACTCCCATCCTAGTCCATGGGAACTTTGCACATATTTGTCTACCTGAAAATTTTTCAGATGTCTCTGATACGATGTATTTTCCTCTTTGACTCTGACCGAATAAATATAAAAATATGAAATATTGGGCCCCCTACAGAACCTGAAAGCACAAGGTAGACAGAAATGGCAGAGAGATGTGTCCAGGCCCGTGCCTCTGTGCAGAGAGAGCGACTTCGGACCGGTCTTTGAAGTTATTACCAGACGCACACACGTTATGACTCATTCCACACACAGAATGGCTCAGTCATCCAGCAATTTGTACGCCCAGTAAGTAAGTATGAACGACTCTGCTTATGTTTTTGATCTTTAAGACTTTATGAGGTGTTTCGTGATTATTCACACTCGGGGTGTCACAATATTAACCCCCACTGCCTCTTTTTTTACACAAGTTTTGCCAAGTATAAAGTCACCTATAAAGAAATTTGTTTGGGTTTCTCTCCTGCCTAATTTTGACGCATATTAATCCTTTAGTCTTAAAATATCTTCATTTACAGTGGGAGTTAAGGTTACTACTGAATAATACATTATCAGCATGCTTCCATGTATATTTCCTTCCATCTCTTCTCTTCCTTCTTTCCTTCCTTCCTTCTTCCTTTCCTTCTTCCTTTCTTTCCTCCCTCTCTCCCTCCTTCCCTTCCCTCTCCTTTCCTTCCTTTCTTTCTCTGTTTTTTTCTTTCCATTCTGAGGATTGAACTCAGAGCCTTCACACTGAGCTATACTCTCAGGCTTTTTCACTTGTTTTGTTTTCTATTTCAAATCAGAGTCTTGCTAAATCAGAAAGTTATCCAGCTGGGTTAAAACTTGTGATCCTCCTGCCTCAGCCTGCCAGAGCACCAGGATTATAAGCATTCACCATCACACCTGGCCTCATTTTCTTTTAAAGTGCCCAGGGGACTTAGCTAAAGTGCTGGGGATTTAGCTCAGCGGCAAAAAGCGCCTGCCTGGCAAGCGCAAGGTCGTGAGTTCGGTTCCTGGTAAAAACCAAAACCAAAAAAAAAAACCAAAAAAATTTAAAAATTAAAAAAAAATAAAATAAAGTGCCTGCATGTTTGTTAAGAAAACAAACAAACAAACATTTGTAGAAAAAAGGCTGCACCTTGAGACCATGATGTTAAGTGAAATAAATCAGATGCAGAAGCATAAATATCACATGGCTTCTCTTATATGAGGAACCCAAAACATAAATAAAGAGTAAAATAAAAGGTAATAGGACGTTAAAAAAAAAAAATAGATCTTTTGCAAATGGGAAGAGGATCAAGGGATGCAAGGAGGGTAGAGGAAGTGGATAGAAAAAGAATTAAGGTGCGTTATGCACATGTACCAGCTCCAAACAAGGAGTGTGAGCAGTATGTACTGCAAACAGGGGCTAATAAAAACCAATAAAAATATTTTTTAAAAAACAAAAGGAAAAGGTGGACAAGTCGATCATAGAGCCTCTCCAAAATGATCTAACAAGAAGAACAAAAGAGAAAGAACCTGGAGTGCAGGAGGCAGAGAAGAAAGGAAAAGAATGGAAGATTATGGAGGGTTTGCGCTAAGGAGAGGTAACTGTGGAAGAGTCAGTGTGAAAGAGATCATTTCAAGGACGTGTGTGCATCACTTCAAGAATTCCTATGCTGAAACCTAATCAGCAGTGCCAGGGGGTCAGGCGGTGGGGTCTTTGCTCATGAAGGCAGAATGGAATGAGTAGCTTCACAAGAGAAGCCTCTGCAAGCTGGGTGTGGTGGTACACAGCTATAAACCCAGCTTGAAGAGGAAGGCAGACAGATAGAAAGACAAAGAGGCCCTGGAGTGTTGTTTGGGTTCTTCTGCATTGTAAGGACACAGGGAAATGCCATCTCTAAGCCTAAAGTTTGCTTTCACCAACTCTGCTGGTCCCTCAGTCTTGGACTTCCTGGCCTCCAGAACTGTTAAGTAACACATGTCTGTTCATAAGCTAGCCTGTTATTTTGCTATAGCAGCCCGAACAGACAAGATAGGAGGAGCTCAATAAATACTTACTTATAATGTAAAACAAATTAGGCAGAAACCCCTAGCACAAATAAGTTACCGACACAGATAAGTCAATGATACGGAGGTTAGTCACAGTCTATGGGGGTGGAGAGAAGAATAACTAGAAAGAAAGAGAAATGAAAAAATGTGTGACATATACTGTGATTACACTGAGTAGAACTTTTCCTTTTATAAGTAGTTAGCAGATTAGCTAGGTAAGAACTTGATTATTACAAAAAGTCAGGCATGATAATGTACGGTTGTAATCCCAGCATTCAGGAAACTGAGGCAGGAGGATCACCATGAGTTCCATGAACTACATAGCAATACCTTGGCTCAAAAAAAAAGAAGAAAAGTTTTTTATGTGGTTATCCTTCAACATATATATAAAAACACATGAGAAGTGGGTAATCAAAAACTGTTTTATAACCAAATAGATATTCAAGTATCTACTATTTTCAAGGCTTTGGAAATACAATGATAGAGTAAGGCCATATGTTCAAAGCTTTACACATCTTAAGAGAATGGAAAGTTTTTAATTTAAATAATATTTTTAAACCATAGGTATCAGCCAGCATGTTGGTACAGGCCTGTAGTCCCAGCACTCAGAAGGCTGAGGTAGAAGGATCAAGCCCACCCTGGAAAATATAATGAGTTCAGAGCCAGCCTGAACTATAGTGAGACCCTGTGTCAAAAAACCAACCAACCACACCCAGCATGGTGGTGCACGCCTGTAATCCCAGTATTCGGAGCTGAAAGCAGGAGGATTCCCCTGAGTTCCAGGCCAGCCTGAGCTACATAGTAAGTTCAAAGCCAACCTGATCCACATAGTGATACCCTGTCTCAACAAGCAAAAATAATGAACAACAACAAAAACAAACAAACAAATAAGTGGTTAGGGAGGTAGCTTGCTGCAAACAAAAGATACTAAATCCAATCCCATTTAACATACACACACACATACACAAAGGTATCATATAAGGTATCAAACAAGGCTTACAAAGACATTGACTAATGGTAGAAAAGGTCAAAATTGAACTCTTTGCTAAATTAGTAATTGTGATTAGATGATTAGATTTCACAAGTTTGGTAATGATTTTCACATTCACTACTTCTCCCTTTTCTTTTCTTTTTCTTTTTTTTTTTTTTTTTTTTTCAGTACTGAGGATCGAACTACTTCTTCTCCCTTTTCTAATTATGGATAGCTGTGTGGTCCACCAGTCATGTCAAAAGAAAAATCTATTTTCACTTACCTGGAAATATGCAGACATAAAAGAGTTATCCACCGCCAGGATAATGTCTTCATGCTGGTGGACGATGTACGCACAGGCTGCGATGTCAACTAACTTCAAGCTAGGGTTGGTGGGGGTTTCGATCCAAACGAGCTGGAGTTATTCAGAAGAGAAAAGTAGTTTATGGAAGTTCAGTGCACAAACTCAAGCCCCATACCTTGCAACAAGCGAGGGCTTTTTTGGGGGGGGGGGGTTTCTCCAGTACCGGGAACCGAACTCACGACCTTGCGCTTGCCAGGCAGGCGCTTTGCAAGCAAGGGCTTTTTTATACCGGAGTAAAAACACAGGGAAGAAGGTTCATATCTCAGCCCCACCTGCCCTACAAATTTCTGAGCCTCAGCTCAGTAACTTACCCTCTGCCTCCCCCATTTCCACATCTGTATAATGGGGTTTGGGAATATTTGTCCTATAGAGTTGTCAGGCTCAAATAAAGGAATGAACATCAAAGCAAGAAAGCGCTGAACTATTAGGATTATTTTCCATTAAAAAAAAAAAGAGGACTGTTCCACAGACAATACAGTTCAGCGTCTGGAACCTTTGTCAATGGACAAGGAAGAGGGGTCACATCAGACTACAGCCCAGAATTTTCATTAATGAGAATTAACCCTAAGATGCCAAAAATACCTCTAATACTAGAAAAGATAAAAATAACTACCTAGAACTTCAAGATTGTAGGCCTCAAACTAAAGGAGAAAAGAAACTTTGCCAATAGAAGAGTAACAGCTCACGAAGAAAGTGATGTCTGCCTGCATATTCCCAGCCTCCCACAATTACTGGAAAGAGAGTTCTATTTACTAAACAAGGTACCACTATATTGGGTTATATTATCTACTGCTGTCTTCTTACAGGGATTAATGATTCTTTTTAAAATTTCCTATGTCAGCGGGCAAGAGAGCTAGTTGAGTACACTTCCTACTCTGGAATTTTGATACAGAAAAATAGAACATGGCTAAAATAGTGCACATTCTATAAAAATCTTGAATTATGTACAGATAACAAAAAAGAAAAAAGTTACAAAATGGACTTGACACACATTTTTTTTTTTTTTTTAAATTTTCTGAGACTGGGTCTTGCTATGTAGTGCAGGCTAGTCTTGAATTTACTATGTAGCCCAGGCTGGCCTCGAATTCATGCCAATTCTTCTGCCTCAGCCTCCCAAGTGCTGGGATTTAAGGCACATGCCACGAGGCTCAACTTTGGCATGGATTTTAAAATTGAACTGCAAATGACAAGCCTATACATATTTCACAGGGGAAAATATATGAAGTCAGTAAAGAGCCATTATGTAAAGTGTTCTGGACAAAGTTTAATATAATCGCAATTTTCTTTCCTCTTTTACACTAGTTATTCTAACATTTTTTCTTTCAAGAAAGAGTAAAAAGCCAGGTGTGGTGGTGCATGCCTGTAGTTCCAGCACTCAGGAGGCTGAGGTAAGAGGATGGCTGCAAGTTCAAGGCCAGCCTGAACTGCACAGTGAAATCCTGTCTCAAAAAGACAAAAAAAAGGCAGAGGGGTGCTGTAAAGATTTTTTTAAAAAAACTCTCTTGAAAATAAACCCTTGGTGGTGGTACATATCTATAATCCCAGTACTCTGGGAGGCTGAGGCAGGAGGATTATAAATTCAAGTCCAGCCCTGGCAATTGAGTGACATAGTGAGAATCTGTCTTAAAATTTTAAAAAGGGGAGATGTAGCTCAGCATGAGAACTCTGGGTTCAATCCCCAGTACTAAAATAAATAAATGAATCAATCAACTGTAATTACTGAAAGCTAACTCCTATCCTAATTTCTAAAGAAATTATTTCTTTGAGAAAAGATTTTCACTTTCCAGCATTCACTACAACATCACCTTGGGCACAGTTCTAAATGTTAATCCTCCACCAAAAAAAGCGGCAAGGGCTGACTTGTAAAAGATCCTGGTCCTTCTTTTTCACGCCTGCAGAATTTAAATGAGGCCCCAAGAAAGAACTCACATCTGCCATTCACTCAGGCACAAAACACCTCCAGGGGCGCACAAGCTTCCCAGGACCAGAGCAAAGGGCCACTAGTGGCCCATTCTCTCTGTCTGTTATTGCAGCGGGACCCTGGGCACCCAGAAAAAGCCACCGTGCAGAGTGTCCTGCAGTTTGGCAGGCAGCCTTCCTATCATCCTATCATCCAGTAGCTGTGAGGTCTGCTACCCACGCTGGCTTGGTAACACAGAGAAGAACTGTGCGCTCCCACATGGAGAAATCCCATTTTTGATCTCTTGCGGTGTTGGTGATTGAACCCAGGGCCTGCCACATGCCAGGCAAGTATTCAGTCGCTGTGCTCCACCCCTGGCCCATGGGTAGACAAGCTGTACCCACAGCCAGGCATCCAGGTACTTCCTAAGCAAGTAGATGCAACATCTCACTGCATTTTCATAGCTTCTTTTCTTTTTTTTTTTTTTTTTTTTTTTTTTTTTTTTTCTCCGGTACCAGGAACCGAACTCACGACCTTGCGCTTGCCAGAGCAGGCGCTTTTGCCGCTGAGCTAAATCCCCAGCCCCATAGCTTCTTTTCTAATGAAGCCAGCGTAGTCACATCCACTTCGCGAATGAAGACGCTGACACTTTGGCCAAATAATTTGCCCAATGTGGGGCTGGGGATTTAGCTCAGCGGCAAAGCACCTGCCTAGCAAGTGCAAGGTTGTGAGTTCGGTTCCCGGTACCGAAGAAAAACCAAAAAAAAAAAAAAAAAAAAAAAAAATTTGCCCAAAGTAATACACCAGCTATGATACCGAATCAGAGCTGGAATTTCACTCCAGAATTCCTGCATGAATTCCTAATCACTGGGAGACCCGGATGCCAGCCTTTGTTAATCTTGTTGATGTTTTCAATGGCTTGTAATAAAATTTGTTACTCAAGTTTAAATTCTATCCTCTAGTAAACAAAAAAATTGATGAAAATAAGACATCACAGAGAAGACAGGCAAAACTGAGAACTAGCTAAGTTACCTTGGTTTGTGGTGTAATTGCTTCCTCCAGCAATTTGGTTTTGGAACAATCAACAAAAGAAATCTTTAATCCAAATTCAGCTGCCACCCTCCTGAAGTATCTGCTAGTACCTGAGGCAGAACAGAATCAGATAAGATAGAAAAGATATGGCATCAAGAAATGTTCATCCCTTACAGGTATAAACATGTAAAGTTATAAGGAACTCTCAATTGCAAATAAAAATGCAACTAAAAGCAATTTTAGTTAAGCGGCTGGCTATCTGCTATAGTACAGATTAACAAGGCTCCAGTCAAATAAAACACACTTGATTCCCATAACAGGAGATAGAAAGCAGAAAATGTTTCCCAAAATACCCCACCTCACCAGGCCTGGCAGTGCTCGTCTGTGATCCCAGTTCTTGGGAGCTGAGGCAGGAGGACTGTTGTGAGTTGAAGCCAGCCTGTGCTATATAGTGAGTTCAAGATCAGCCTGAACTACTTAGTGAGACTCTATCTCAAAAAACTGAAACAAACAAAATATCCAGTTTCTATTTTCAAACTCTAAGTGGAATGTTCCCTGAAACATTAATAATTTTTTGTAACAATTTCTTCTGAGTAATTAGATCTAAAGTAAATTAACGTTGATAAAATGTCCAAAGTAAACATTCAGTTGATTATTATCCTTTGGTCACAGAAAACAATTGGTTACTATTCTTTGTACTTTCTCGGTGCTTTGGTTGTGTGGTTCTGAAAGCACTTTTCATGGATAAAATGAAATAATGTAAATCTAATTGATTTCTATTTACTTTGAAATAAGATAAATCATTAACACAGAATAATTTCTTATAAAAACTGTTCTGAGCTTTATTTTTTATATTTGCAAAATTTAAAGAAAAAATCTGTACTGACAGTCAACAAAAAAAGATAAACGGCCAAAGATAAACTGGACTTTTGATGTTATAGAGACTGACCCTAGATTGGGAAAATAGTGTAAAGGATTGTTAAAAATCAACAGCTCTCAGGATTTTGTTGGCCATGAAAGTTTGGGGGGGCTTCGTTTTTTGTTTTTGTTTTGTTTGTTTTGTTTTGTTTTCATTTTGAGACACCACCATGCCTGATTGCTGTGAGGTTTTCATAAGAAAGTATAAAATACCTAGAGGCTGGAGATTTGTTCAATTTCAATTGAACAAATTAGTACAAGGGCCCAAGGTAAAATATAAAAACAACACGTAAGTTGTGGAGGGAGGAAATAATCACGAGAACAAGTCCTTTCCTTCTAAGAACTTTGAGATTTAACTTTTTGTTCAGATAAGAGATAGATAAAATGATCATATTCTAGAAGTTACATATTAATTATTTGGAAGCACTTAGAATTTACCGGTGCATTTATGAAATTTTTTGCTTTGTTTTGAATACAAAAATCAGTCTTGCAGCCAGGTGGGTGTGGTGGTACACACCGGCCATCCCAGCACTGGGAAGGCTGAGGCAGAAAGATCACTGTGAATCTGAGGACAACCTGGGCTACATTGTGAGTTTAAAGCCAGCCTGAACTACACAGTGAGAACTTGTCTCAAAAAACCAAAAAAAAACAAACAAAAAAAATCACTCTTCCTCCACCTACAGGAACAGCCAACATACTAACTCTTAGTAACAGGAGTTCTTAAATTTGGATCATTCTGGGTTTCAAGGGTCAGTCTGCAAGACCAATGAAGTGAAAATCCTAAGCATCAGTTGTCGTCTTAAAAACATTTTGGGGAGAGTTCTCTACAGCTTTCAACAGATTTTCAAAAGTTTCCCTGAAACCAAAGTAAAAAGTAAAGCTCGAGAGGGACTGGAAGGGTTGAGTTCTTTGCGAGTGACCTGGTACAGCTTGCCTTCACTGCAGCTAGAAATTTTGCACGACACTAGAACAATCTCCCCTTCAACACTGTCTTCTCTGGAGCAGCATATGTCTGAAAGTTGATCAAGTCCTACATCCTTATATTAGCGGCTTAAATATAATTCTTTGATTCATATATATATATATATATATATATAGTTTGTTTGTTTGTTTGTTTGTTTTGTTTTTTTTCCAGTATCAGGAATTGAACTTATGACCTTGCACTTGCCAGGCAGGCTTTGTGCCACTGAGCTAAAGCCTCAGCCCAATTCATATATGTTTGTAGTACATAATAATCAGATTAATTGTAGGGAATTGGCACACATACATAACCCATCTTAATTCTTTTTACTTCCCCTTCCAGCTGAATTGGAACTCACTATGTAGCCCAAGCTGGCCTCAAATTCATGGTGATACTCTTGCCTCAGCTTCAGAAGTGCTAGGATTACAGGGGTGTCACCACGCCTGATTCTTAAACAATCTCTCTTATAAGCAGGGCACAGACTCTAAGGGTTATGTTCCTCATTTGCCAAGTCTGAGCCAGCCATACTTTTGAAACACAATAAGTCATCAAGAATAGTATCATTCTCGCTAACACAATTCAAAGCTCACTGCATTATCTTAAAGTTTTTTGGAGCCACTGTGAATGAGCAGGGTTACCCACCTCCGTACACATCATCCATGCAAATCACTTGGTCTCCTGCTTTTAAAAGATGAGTAATCGTCACAGCAGCTGCTAAACCCGAAGCAAAGGCCAAACCTAAAATGATAGTTGAGTTACAGTAAACCAAAAAGATAGACCTGTGGATAAAATGTCATCCTCAGTATTTACTCACATGACTTAACATCCCTCTCTCTGCTGATAGGTCAGTCAAGAATAAATAACCTTTATTATTTTTATTTTTTTGAGACAGAGTCTCACTATATACCCCAGGATGGCCTTCTCATGGCTATCCTCTTGCTTCAGCCTCCCAAGTGCTGGGATTACAGGTATGCGCCACCACACCTGGCTCAAATTACCTTTAAAAGATACACACACACACACACACACACACACAGTAGACAGATACTTGGTCTTACATCCATTCTGCCTTAGTTATAACCTTTCTATAAAATACTTCAAAGAAATAATTCTTTGCAAAACTTGACATAAAGACTCATTGTCCATTAAATTACAGTTTTAAAATATAAAACTAAACAAATTTTGAACTTGAGGAATACAGCAAAGATATGATCCATTTTTTCATTATATGGATATAGAATACAATATCCATACACCATTTTGTTAAAATATTTTAAAGAAAACATATTTTTAATTAATTTATTGTTTGTTTATTTGTTTAGAGACAGGGTCTCGTTATATACTCCAGGTTGACCTTGAGCACTCAGGGGTCCTGCTGTCTCAGCCTCCCAAGTGCTGGGATTAAAGGAATGTCCTACCCTGTCTGGTTGGAAAAAAATATTTTTTAAAGAAACTCAGAATCAGAATTGAGATGTACCTGCTAGATTTAAAGATGATGGATGCATTAGTCTGCCCTTATTTAGTATCATTTATATGAAGAATACAAAGATGATTTAATAACAATCTGCTACCCTCGTGAGAAAAAGCTTCGGGGAGTTAATTCCTAGCCTCTGAGAGTGTATTATAAAGGGTTATCGGCAACGGCAAAGGCACAGTGCAGCTATTCTCACGCACAAATTATCAGGTGAATGAACCAGAATAATGAAAAGTTTTTTATTCTCCTAAGTAGAGCTATAAAACTGAATTTGTACCCATTTGCACTCATGCATGCCTCTGTGAAAAGCAACAGACAGTTCACAGGGGTGCTGGGGTACATGCTGCTTTTTGCCCGGCTATATAGTTATTTCTACCTGATGATTACACATACGAATACAGTGTCAACTGAGGGACCTCAAGCAAAGTATCCAGTATCTTAGTAAAACACAAGTTTTGAGCAGTGAGTCCTCACCTGGTTTTTTTGTTTGTTTATTTGTTTGTTTTTTGCTTCCTCTTCTTTCCCCCTCTGTGGCACTGGAGATTGAACCCAGGACCTTCACACCCAGCTCCTTCCCTACTCCTTTCAAAATTTAGAGACAGGGTCTCGCGAAGTTGCTAAGTTGCCTGGACTAGGCTAGAACTTGTGATCCTCCTGCCTCAGCCTCTCAGAGTTTTGGGGTGACAGGTATGCTCCCTCACGCCTAGCGGTGAATGAGTGAATCTTTTTTCTTTTTTCTCATCTGCATCCTGGGCCTCTGGCAGGTTTTCTGTGCACTTTAAAAGGACTTGACAGGGAAATCCACATCACTTACTGTACTTGGCCTCATCCAATGCCGCCACTACTTTTTCCAGGCAGTTCCTAGTAGGATTTCCAGAGCGACCATACACAAAGCCCTGAAGGAGAAAAGAGTTCATTCTAAGAGCTTCCTGTTCATTACCAGCATCCTCACGGAGATATCTCAGCAGGTATGAGTTCATCCTACCATAACGGCTTTCTGTCATTTAGTGTCTATTATTTACGTCCTGACTTAGAAGTATGACAGCATCCACCTAGGGGCCACCGGGGGAATTGACTGAGCCACAGAGTAACCCTATTTCTGTACTTCCTTCCTAAGAAGTAAGCGATGCAAGTTCTATTAGAGGACAAGAAGACACTATAACAGATCCTACAAGCACTGGGAGTTAGGATCTTGGCTCTTCAAACTGGCTCAAAACACAGAGAGTAATTCTTGGCAAAGGACCTTCACACAATGCTTTTTAAAAATTTGCATTACACTTCTTTTACATATATGGCGCAACAATGCCCATATTCATCTAGTCATTTATTTAATCTTCAAAGCCTGCTTTGAGGAAGGTGAAACCCAATGTCTTAGGACCTAGAGAGCCAGCATTAAAGCCCAGGACCCTAACACTGATGAAAAGACCCATAATTTTCTCCCCTGGCTCATAAAGCCCATAACAAAGCACAACTACTCTTTACACCAGTTGCTGATTCAGGCACTCCCAGTATTAGTAATAATTGTAAAAGTTTTGCTGTGTTGTCTCCTTGTTCCTGACAAGCTGATTGGGCATATTTATTTTGTGGGGTCCTGGATACCCCTGCCACTCGAGAATTCCTCACTGTCACTAGCAGCTGTGCCTTCCAGAGAAAAAGGAAATGCTGAGATTCACATAGCTACTACCACAGAAGGGAACCCTACCCTTCTGTAAATTTTCACCAAGGGTACTTACCTTGGGGTCAGGGCATGTTTCAGTAGCAAACTGCCTCATCTATCCAATGGCTTTTCAAGTGCAACTAAAGAATTAGATGCTTCTCAGGCAGCCCTTCATATTCCCTCCAGTGCCCTTAACTGATTTTTCATGACAATACACAGTAGCTTGTACAGTTAACTGTCTCTGCTTTCTTTCTGGAAACATTACAGTATTACTACCGTACCAGAATGATTAACTTGTGCACTCAATTCCAAAGCTCGGACAGTCACACACTTAGTAAGCCGGCACACAGGGCAAATTGTATGCTTGTATACACATTTTGATTCCAAAATACAGTAGCAAAGGTACTGGGAAGTAGCTCTAGAAATGCCCGAAGAACTCCACTTCACAAAACAAAGGTTGAAGTCTACGAGAATTGTACTTAACACCTCAAAGTGGTTTTCAAAGCCGAATCAAGGTTCAGGACTTATAATGTTTAGTTAACTAATTTCTTCCAAATCTCAGCAACTTTTCAGTACTCCAAGACCCATCTGGTCTGCCCGCAAAAAGAACAAATGCAATGCAATTAACAAACAGTCCTGTCTCATAGGCTTTACAAGTCATTTATGAGTCTGGGTTAGTTGTCTATAAAAAGTTCCTAATTCCTGTCCTGTCCTCTGAACTGGCTCTTACGAAGATCAATGGAAATAGTATAGACCTGCTATAACCCAAGGCATCACTGAGCAATTATTATGTGCACTGTAGCATTACAAATCCCAACAACTTATGCGGTAGGTATTACTATCCTCATTTATACACGGATAACTTCTCTGCTAAAAGGATAACTTCTCAAACAGCCAGCTCAGAAGAGCTGACATTAGAATAAATTCAGACCTAAGTCCTTTACCCTAGGCTGGGGAGGCCACATTGCTTGGTGATGCAATACGGTAACTGGTTGCTGGCACTGAGTACACCATAATGTCGCTCAGCTCCTGCATTTAGGAGCCTGAGGCTGGCAGTTCACCACCCCTAAATCTCAGCTGTTTCATCAGAAAAATGAGAATTTAGTTCAGACTAGGGTCGTGAGAATTAAATGAGTCACCACATGTAACACATTTTACATACATATACAACTTATGTACGAAAACATTTTATATGCATATATAGATGTGTACATTTCACACAGTAGGTACTCATCTATCAACCTAATAAAATGTGTACATTTCACACAGTAGGCACTCATCTATTAACCTAATATAGCCATTGGGGAATTATCTTAACTCTAGGTGAGTTATCAGACCCTGGATTCTTTCTAAGCTGACTCCTTACGACATACTTAAATTTTTTTTTGCTGCTGAAGGTAACGCAAAGAAGTCCCGGCCCTCGCGTCCGAATTGACAGCTTGCCAAAAATCACACGAGCTGCGGTGCAAATCTTGACAGCAAGCTGCACAAGCCGCTCCTTTCCAGGTCTGCTCCCGAGGTGAGCCCGGGTGGACTGAGCCCAGCCGGCCTTCGGGCGCCCCGCGCCCGCTTCCGCCCCGCCCGGCCCGCGCCGGCTCACCCAGTGCTGGCCCGGCGCCCGCTGCTGGAAGGTGGTGGACAGGGAGATGGGCGGCACCACGTCCCGGGAGGCCCACTGCGCGGGGTCCTGGCCCGTGTGGATGGCCCGCGTGGCGAAATGCTGGAAGCGGGGCAGGAACCCAGGCGGGGAGGCGTCCTTCTTCTGCATGCCGACTGCAAAGGAAGGAGAAAGGGGAAAAGCAACGAAGATCTAACTAGGAAACCGGGCCGTCAGGGCAGGCTGCAGGGAACGGGCAGAGGTCGACCACGCGGCCCAGGGAGAGTGCTCCCGGAGAAGACTGCCACACCGGCGAACGGACTTTATACTCCGCCCCTGAGGGGCGGGGCCCGCGCGGACCAATGAGGACCCGCCCCGGTGCCGTGCGCGCTCCTCATTGGCTGGCGGCGGGGGCGTTGCCTGGGTGCTTCTCCGGCGCCCGGGAGGCGGAGGCTGCGGCGTGGCCAGAGGTGAGGCCCTCGGGTCGGAGGTTAGCCGAAAAGGCAGAAAAAAGGCCAGCGGGGTGTTGAAACCGAGCAACCGTGTAGAAACGGGCTACACAAACAGCTTCCTGTGACGGCGTCTGCGCCCCTGACCCTCAGCCCTTTGTCCCGACCGCGGTGTAAAGAACGAGCGCTGGGCAGGGAATCGGGCGTGCAGCTTGGCGCTCAGCAGGGCCGGACAGGTCATCTTCCAGGTTAGCTGCCTGGCGGCGGCCGGGCAAACCTGACCTACTTACTACTGGGACGAGGTTGTGCAACTAGGGGATTTAGGGATATTTCTGTTCCCGCCAAGTATCAGCTAACGATTTCAAGCTTTATCAAGTTAAGACAATGAGGAATAAATGACTTGAAATTTTACAGTTTGGAAGAGAGGTTTCCTGCTGAAATTAGCTCCAGGGACACATTGCAAATTGGGCACCAGAGGAGTCGTGCCTAAGATCACAGAAACTCTTTCGGTTTTTTGAGACAGGGTCTCGATAGATGTCCTAGCCTGAAACTCACTGGGGTTCTCCTGCCTCAGCCTTCTGAGTGCTGGGATTACAGGCATACATCACCATGCCCTGCCCTTTTTCTGTCTTTCTTCCTGTTTGCTTTTGTTTTTTTGTATTTGGGCAAGGGCTCACTATTTTGTCCAGTCCACTGTCAGACTCCTGGACTCAAGCAATCCTCCAAATTCAGTCTACCAAGTAGCTAGAACTATAAATATGGGCCACCGTGCCTGGAAATAAAGGATTTTTTTTTAGAAGATGGCCCCAACATATGTGCTTTAAATCAGATCTCTTTTACTGTCATAAATCCAGAACATTTATTAGATGACAACTAAACATTATCTGTCAAGGATTTAAAATACCCATTCACATGACTCAGAAATTTCGCTTGTAGGAAATTTCACTCGGGAAATTCCTGCATGTGTCAAAAGATGAGGGAGAACGTTCTTTATTCCTATGAGCTGTGTTTAGTAGCAGAAGAATGGAAAACCGCTTCACTATGGCTCCTCAGAGCCTGATCAGCATTTACGGAACGGCTCTGTGATCATGAGACTATTCCAAGAAGCAGGAAGAAATTGATACGCACTGGCGCACTGGCGTAACATGGTAGCTAATCTCCAAGACAGCCAAGAAAGTTGCAGAATAATGTGTACACTGTGCATTTATTCTTTTCAAGAGAATATGTGGTGTGTTGCCTCCTTTTTAGGCAGGAGATTGATAGTATAATCTGTGTAAAATTTATTCTGGTCAACGAAACCATATCAGGGACGCCATATATTACCTTTTCAACAGTAATGAAAACAAAAAAACTAGTGTAAAAGTTTCAATTAACTGAACACAAATGATAAATATGAGGTGGTGAATATAATTATCCTGAGCTGATCTTTACATATTGCATACATGTATTGAAATGTCACATTATAACCTATACATGTGTGGGGTTTTTGTTTTGTTTTGTTTGAGGGAGTCTTTTGCCCAGGCCTTACTTTTATAATCCTCCTGCCTCAGCCTTCCAGAGTACTGGGATTACACAGGTGCACCACCACACTTGGCCTGTATCCTATATCCTATAAGTCAATTATTTTGGTTGTTTTTTTTTTTTTTTTTTTTTTTGGTACTGGGAATTGAACTCGGGACCTCGTGCTTGCCAGGCAGGCACTTGTGCCGCTGAGCTATATCCCCAGCCCCCTATATGTCAATTATTAATAAAATAGGTATATATTTTTAAAAATCTCTTTCAGTCCCTTATGTTCACTATACTCTCTCACCATAGGGCCCTTTCACATGCTAAAGAAGCAGACAACATGCCCTCCCTTCCTCCTACCTCCCAGTTCCTCAAATTTCGCAGTACCTTATTTTCAAAAGAAACCTCCTCTGATCGCCCGGAGTAGGCCACTCATTACAGGACTTGTAAGAGTGGAAATTTTGCCAGGTGTGATGGTACACACCTGTGATCCCAGCACGTGAGAGACTGAGGCAGAAGGATGGCCAACCTGAGCTACACAGTGAGTTCAGCCTGGACTACATAGGGAGACCCTGTCACAAACAAACAAACAAAAAGCGTGGAATTGTGTACTTTTTATGTGCTACTTTAATTAATACTTTGAAAACCAATACAGTGTTTCACAGGTGGACTGTCTCAAATTTCATGAGTTAGGCCTACATAAGAATAAAGAAAAACTTGATTCTGAGCTCAAAATAAACAAAATCACTACCTTTGTATCAAAAAACTGCAAGTACCAAAATTAGCTAAATAGTGGGGTCTCATGATACAATCCGTTAGTGCACAGCACTTCTACAAAATTAGCTGAATTCATTTAAATTGTTTAAATTCTTTTAAATTCCGTATTTGGAAGGACTTTTGTTGACTTTAAAGTCACATAGGTTATTTTATCAGCTTTTGTTTCTTAGCTTTCTGCGCTGAACACAACTGGCTTCCCTTAAGCATCTTGATAGTCCCTGGTCAGGCTTTACTGTGTACTTAGGTATGGATCTGTTCTGTCTCACATCTTCTTAAATTTTACCTTTCTAGTTGTATGTCAGCTTTTTTGTTTTGTTTTGTTTTTGATTTTCTTTTTGTGTTCTGAGACAGGGTCTCACTATGCAGTTGAGGCTGGCCTTGAACTCACTCTGTGGACAAGGCTGGCCTCGAACTCACAACAATCCTCCTGCCTCAGCTTCCAGAGTGCTGAGAATATAAGCGTGCACCAACCCTAATCCTAACCCTAACCCCTAACCCTAGCCCTAACCCTAAATGTCAGCTTTTGACGATAGTTTTTTGTTAACATAATATGCAAAATTCTGTTGTAGAATGTTGATTTCATTTATTAATATCTTTGGGTTTTGTTTGTTTTCATTTGTTCTTTGGTTTTATGAGACAGAGTCTCACTATGTAGCCAGCCTGGCCTTACTCACAGCCATCGTCCTGCCTCAGCCTCCTAAGTGCTGCAATTATGGGCATGTGTCACCACACCCAGGAAAACTGCCAACTTCATGAGAATGAGAAGTTGTTGGACAAACACAGCTTATCAAAGGAATAAAGTAGAGTCAGTGATATGCTGGTAAGTGTTAACTGACTTTCACAAAACTATCCATGTGTAGGTACACACACCATTATAAAGGTTACTGATAGTATGTGTAAGGCAAGATTCACTTTTTATTTAAAAAGTTTTAGTTAAGCAACTTAGAGAAAACTTTTCAAACGAGTTAAGTGACATCCGTGTTAGATACAGTAGATGCTGTGCTCTTTGCAGGGTGTGCTGATGTTTCATATAAATTAGCTTGTGGACATTATAACAATGCTATCATAACATTCACTAAAACATATTTTCTTAGGAATGAAGTTCAGGAGGAGCAAACATTTTACAGGAAATGGAGGATTTCTCATTTTTTTTTACATGCTTTTGCTGCTTAATCATGGTCCATGGTTCAGTGCTGGGGTTAAGGGTGCTGAGCGTAAGGGGGTGACTGCTGGATCAGTCCACTGATTATTTTGGCACTGCCCTAATCCCGGGAGACTGATAAAATGGGAGGGACAGAAGAGGCAAGTCTCTCTTCCTGTTGTTGCTTTTGCTGTCTTCCCCACCATGAACCAACCTGCCTTGGAGCCAGGCAATTATGGACTGAAACCTCCACAGCTTGTGAGCTAATAAACCTTTCCCCGTTTAACTTTGGGTGTCGGGTATTTTGTCTCAGCAATGTGAGGAAAGTAACTAAGACACCCGTGTTCATAACAGCTAATCCTAGAGCTGTACAGCAGTTCACAAGAGCTAAATCCTGGAAGCGGCCTGTGTGTCTATCAACAGGTGAATGGATAAAGGAAATGTGGTATTTACACACCATGGAATACTACTCTGCCATAAAGAAGGATACATTTAAGACATTTGTAGGAAAATGGATGCATCTCCAGACCATAACGCTGAGTGAAATAAATCAGCCACAGAAGGTCAAATATCACGTGGCTTCTCTTATAGGAGAAACCCAAAGTCCAAGTAAATTAAAGAGTAAATGAAAGGTAGATAACAGGAAACAGAGACAGATCTGCAAATCAGAAGTGAGGTGGGAGGTGGGGGGGGGGAAGGGAGGCAAGAAGAAGTAGCAAGTGCTGTGTATGTTTGCAGCTCCCCACGCTGAACGAACTCATCCCGTCCTGCAATCAAACTGACAGGAAGAAAATCCTAAAACAAAACGTGGAGAAAAGAATGAAAAGGCTGGAGGAGGAAATGGGTTGAGGTTTGAGAGCATGGCAGGGGGTCCTGCCGAGGGGAGGGGACATGGGAGGGACCCGCGGCGGCGCAGGGCAGCGTGGCTGTGAGCAGGCCTTTTCAGCTGCGGGGCGGCCGCGCTGGTGCCAAGGGACACACGCAGCTTCTCCAGCGACAACGGGAGGCCACTTGGGGCTGGGCAGCACGGGAGGTGCTGGACCAGCGAGGGTCTGCAGGCTGCTGGCAGCTCCGCTGGGCTCTGAGGGGGCAGATGGCGGTGACCTCAGAAAGAGGGGTCCTGGGCCGCTCTGCTGAAACTGCATGGCGGGGGCCCCAGGGGTAACTCATCGGGATCCTCCTGCCTCAGCCTCCCAAGTGCTGTGATGACAGGGATGCACCGCCCCACCCAGCTTCGAATGATCTTTAAAGCTGAATAATTAATTTTATTAATGACCGGACAAGGTAGGCAGTAGAGGACACACCATTTCCCGGCAGAAGTTACCATCTGCACATGTCAGTCTCAGGAGCAGCGACAGACACGCTTATGTACCCCCCGCCCCTCGGACTGAACCTCCTGGAGGAACAATTTAATCCCACTGCTTTTCTGATTCTTTCAATGTCCATCTACTCGCAACGACTGTCCTCCTGTTTCCTGTTTGCTTCTTTCTATGGTCAGACTTGTAGTTCAAACACAAAGCAGTCCACAAGCTCCGCAGGATCAGTGAACACACTTCTAGATGGGTGAGGATATTCTTACTTACGATTCATTTGGGAGTGAAATTTCCTCATGGAAAAAGTTAGCTGCACTTAAAACAAATGCCACAGTAAATAATGTGGCAACTCCGGTGTACACTTTTTGAGGACAAAGACTGACTGTTGGTTTTCTCTTGGTTGCATAACATTGGTTCAGTCACTTAGCAAATAATTACTGTGCGTTCTTTATAGGCCATGCACAGAGAGCTCTGCACTCACGGCTACAAGGCAAAATTTCATTCTTTCCAGAAAAAGAGATTGTTGCAATTTGGGGTTTGCCAGGGGAACAGTACAATACAGAACACATATTTTATAAGATTATTTATAATTGTCACCCAAAGAGTCATATACAAATAGAGTGCAGGAAATCTCTCCAAACACTAAAGACCAGAGAATGCAGCTGAGGGCCTGGATCCCATAATAATGTCTTGTGTGAGTCCGGCTGAAGACCTAGAGCCCATAATAGTGCCTGCATGAGTCCAACTGGAGGTCTAGAACCCATGACAATGTCTCATGCAGGCCTGTTTCACAGATTTGCGCTGGGAAGGCCCAAAGGTCAGTGGTGGAAGCTAGAAAGTCTGTGCCAGGGGATGAAGGATCTGTGCCAGCAGGCTGAAGGATCTGCTCTGGAGCCAGGAAGTGATCCTCAAAGTAAGAACCAGGACACCCCAAAAAAGTACCACAGCCATCCTCAGCGACAGTGAGGTCCCAAGCTCCCCCAACGATGAGAACAGTTGAGAAGCCAACATGACAGGCTTCTCTGGGAGACTGAGCAGTGCACCATCTTCCCCTCCAGAGCCAGGAAGTGATGCTCAAAGTGAGGACCGGGACTCCCCCAAAGTGAACTGCAGCCATCCTCAGCAACGCCAAGGTCCCGAGCTCCTCAAGTTCCTATCATGAAATCCAGCATGACAAGCTCCTCCAGGAGAACCAACAGCTCCCTGCAGCGTCCCTAGCAGCTTCTCAACATCTTCTAAGCTTCTTCCTCTCCAGTTCTGCCTCTTATGCTGCCAACAACAACCCTCCGGTGGGCCTCCCACACCCAGCACCACGCTGGTTCAGTTCAGCTGGGTGTTACAAGCTGACCACCAGTTGTCAATCCACCACAGAGAGTTTATTGCTTTTTTTTTTCTTTTTGGTTTCTTGAGACGGGATCTTTCTATGTAGTTCAGGCTGGTCTTGAACTCATGGTGATCCTCCTGCCTCAGCCTCCCAAATACTGGGATTATAGGAATGTGCCACAACACCTGACCTTTATTTTATTTTTTTAAATTTTTATCTCTTTATTTAGTTTGTATTTTGGGACAAGGTCTCTCTATGTATGCCAAGTTGGCCTCAGACTTGCTGCAATCCTCCTGCCTCAGCCTCCCAAGTGGTAGGGTTACAGGTGTGTACCACCATGCTTGGTTGGACAGGGTTTAGAGGCACCATGATCTTGAGGAGGTTAGAACACTTGGAGTTGCTGGAGAGGGATGCAGTACTGAGGGGTTTTTGTCTTTGTTTTTGTTTTTTTCTTCGGGAGGGATTTGAGCTTGGATGTATCTGAGGGAAGGAGTTGTAGAAGAAGATGTAATGAAAACATAAGGAAAAGCACTGGGAGAGGATAGGATCTGAAGTTTAGACTGGATCACTGGAGCAAACACTGTCAGCACTTTGCATTTCTGTTTACTCATAAAATTGAGATCATTTGTATTCTCTGGAGTTGTTTGAGGAATTAGAATATAATGGCATAAAGCACTTAGACTAGACAGACATCAACTAAAGGGAGCTGTATCAGTCTGTTTTCTGTGCCTGTGACAAGTTACCTGAGGCCAGGTACTTTATAAAGAAAAGAGGTCTGCTTAGCTCACAGTTATGGAGGCTCCAGGGCATGGCACAGGCTTTGGCTGGTGCTGAGGAACACGGGTAGCATCCGAAGGACAGGAACGTATAGGAGGGACACGTTGTGGGCCGAGGCAGAGAGCTAGAGAGAGACTGGGATCTCGGCAGGAGAGTCCCTTTAATTCTTTGGAGGACAGCACCCGAATGACCCTGCAACCTCCTTCTAGCTGATAGAAGTTCTGCCATCTCTTAACACCTTTATGACAAAAGGTAAACTTGTTTTCTCTCCACATTTACCAGTATGAAGATGCAAAGGGAAGTTTCATATTTTCAGTGGAGGAATAATTTGTTCACATGAATCAGCAGAGGTGAGCTGATAATTGATTTGAAAAAATTTGGTCATTGATTTGGGACGATTGTCCTGGTCCTTTTACTAATAAATAAGACAGTGTTAAGTGCTGATAATAGTAACAATTTTTTCAACAGACACATTTGTGTAGCATTTTCAATTTTCAGACAATTTTGATGCTTATTATATGATATGACCCCTTTAATAGTCTTTTGGAGATATAGTATACCAATATATGAAAGGGATAGCTGAGGTTCAGAGCAATGAAATATCATGCTTGAACTTATACAACTAATTCATACAACTTGAATTTATACAACAAATGTAGAAATACAGCTAACATAAGGAAGAAAATTAATGTACAAAACCCAAAACCCAGGAATTCTGATCTCAAATTTTAATTCTTACCCATAGTACTGGACTTGCCTGTAAGAATTACAGAAAAAAAAAATGAAAAGATTGAAGAAGAAAAATGTTTAAACATGAAATACAGGTGGAAGATAGACATTTCCACCTTGGTCCTGAGATGGAGACCTCAGAAGATCACAGCTGGGAGAAGGAGCAAGAGAGGGATGTGTGTAAATTATGTCCACAGATTATTTTATTCTCCTCTCTTCAAGAGATAGAGCCTGGAGGCCCTCTCCTTCAGTGTGGGTAAAATTTACTGACTCGCTCCTGATTAGGATTAGGTGTACGACTCAGAGACTGTTTCACTGTCACAGCAGAAGTCCTGGCCTCTTCCTTGCCCTCCTCTTGGGTCTGTCACCCTGGGAGAAGCTGGCTGCCACAGTCCGAGGCCACCTCAGACCCCTGTGGGGAAGTCCACACAAGACCTACTGCCCTTAGCACTCACTTTCGGGACCTGTGCGAGAATCCTCTCAGAAACAGATCCTTAGCCCAGCCAAGCCTGCAGGTCACTGCTGTCCCCACCAACAGCTTGGTGGCTGTGACACAAAAGACCCAATCGCTGAGCCAGAATTATTGCTCGAAAATTCCTGCTCCACAGATACCATGTGAGACACACACGTCCACCATTCTGGTGAAGTTGTGAAGTTGTAGAACAATTTGTTCAACCCCGATAGATAACTAATGCAAGGACTTTAGCATAACAAAGTATAAAGTAGGGTACCAAAAAGGTTGCAGACAATCAGACAAGTCCAGAGGCTATGCCATCAGAAATGGGTTGCTCACTTTCCGTCTTATTGGTTCGGGTCAGGAGTCAGTAAGATGTTAATGTGTATCTCATGTGAGCCAATTTGTCGATGATGGGTTCATTCCCTTCCTTTCAGGCTGCTCGTTGCCTCATGGATCAGCTGAAGTTGGCCTCCGTCTGGTTTGTAAACAGAGCAGTAGAGTTTTCAGAGGCTGGTACATAGGCTCTCGGACTTGTCTCTGTCCGTTTCGTACAATCCAAATAATTCCGTAATAAAAGAGCCACACTTCCAAAAGGTGGCAGCTCCTGTACTAAGCTGACAGAAGAGTCAGACTTTTAAAGGATTTTCCCAGTTTTCTAGCTTCATTTATTAGGAGTTGGGGGGGAATGCGGAGTGATTGTTAAGGGGTGTGGTTTTGTTTTAGGGTGATGAAAATGTTCTAAAAAGATTGTGGTAGTTCACAATTCCATGAATATATTAAAAGATATGAAAGTGTAGGTGAATTATATCTCAATAAAAAAAAAAAATAAGCCAAGTATGGTGGTGGCCTACACCTGTAATCCCAGCTCTCTGAGAGGCTAAAGTGGGAGGATCACAAATTCAAGCCCAGCTCAGGCAAGTTAAGAGACTTAACGAGTTCCTATCTCCAAAAAAAAAAATGAGTGGGCAGTGCTGGGGACCTAGCTCAGTGTGAAGGTCCTGGGTTCGCTCCCCAGGACCAGAGCAAAGCAAAACAAAACAAGAATGATACAGCGTTGAGAGGACACAACTTTGAATTTCCAGTGATCAAAAACCCTAGTCTACCTTTTCAATGACTGTTGATCTTTGGAAGCCCGATTTTTGAAAAGATACTCCTAATAACTACAAAATAAGAACTCAGTTGAAATTATTCTAGCTTTTCAAAACAACTAGCTTTTCAAAACAAATGCTGAGACATCTCAATGATCTCTCTTCATTGCTTCAAGAAAGAAATTACCAAATTTAGCGTCTGCCACATTGACATGTATTACTTATTTAATTTTTGTATAGTCTTATAAAACAGGTGTTGTTATTCCTGTTTTAAAGCTGAGAAAACTAGAGCTCATAATATTTAGGTGATTTCCTAGAGTCATGAAGCAAGTGATAGAGTCTACTGTAGATTCAAATCCAAGATGTCTAATTGTGGGTATAGGTTTAATGTCCCTCCTACTATATATCGTAAAGGTCCGACTCAACTTGCTTAGCAGCCACTTTGGCTATCTTTAAAAACCTTGGCATTTGTCTTTTGAATGGATATATTAGCTCTCTCTTAGTAGATTTTAAGCATCTTCTTGACAGAACCATTTGGGTGGGGAGTGGGTAATTTTGTATTACTTTTTATTCCAATTAGCCTGGGATCTTGACAACAAAGCAAGTTTATCCATGCTGATTAAAATGCTAAGATTGAGATGGTAAAAAATTTGGGGGTATTTGGAAGGCTGCGGCAGGAGAATCACCATGAGTTTGAGGGCAGTGTGGGCTACATAGCAAGATCGTGTTTCAAAACACACAGACGAAAGTTTGGGATAATGATTAATTCAAGATGTTTGGGTTGCTGCTAAAACCTCATGTATAACACGTATACTACTGAAAACCCTCACAGCATACAGAACTGTAAAATGAGAGTAAAATTAAACCTATGTGAATCTATGCCCTGAGTACTATTTTAAAAAAAGAAAAGACACCTCTAGAGAAACTCCAGACAGTCCAGACAGCCGGCTTAGTGTGTCTGGAGGCTAATTCCAGAGATATTAAAAATGCAAGCAGAGGAAAAGTCCTGGCATGCAAGTGTGAAGACAATGAGATGAGACAGCGGGAGGGCTTCTGTAACTGGGCAGAGGAGAGGGCAGCGCTCCCAGGTACTTGCAGCCAGGCTAGGCTGAGCATGCGGTGAGACCCCTGCAAGGAGCTACGGAACCAAGGTTCAGGCTGACTTTCTTAAAATAGAACAAAGATTCCTGGCTGCGCAGCACATGCTAGTTTTCTTTCCTTCTGTAGTTTATAATTCCATTATCTCTCTCTGGCTCCCCTCGTCTGTGAAAAATCCTAGAGACTGGTGCAGTTTTCAAGTTACACGTGCAAGGTTCCCATACCAATGTGTGCTAGCCAGTTGGCGCTACATAAACACACGCTAGAGCAGAACAAACTGCTGCCGGTGTCCAGCGAGCGATAAACACATGTTCCGAACTCAGACTATCCGGTTCCGGTTCTGATCCCATTATTTATATCTTTTTGACCTTGGGAAGTATTTTTTTTTAATTATTTGTAGCCAAGTTTACCTAGCCCTACATTAGCCTGACTCATGTACTTGTTGTAAGTAATGAATGTATTAATATACCCAAAACCTATAGGAAGAACTCAAGAAATGTTATCAGAACCCTGGAATAATGGGAAAGACCTGCAAAAGACAGGAAGTGAAGTATAAGCCACTCTTGATCTGTAGGTCCTGGTGAACAGAGGATGTAGAAAAAAATGGGAAACAAACCAGGCATGTTAAATCGTCTTTAAACTGGTTGTTGTATTTTTTACCTCTGAGTATAATTGCTGTGTCCGCTTTCTACCTGATTGTGTTGCATTGCCGATTGACAGAATCAGTCTGTTTGGTTTAGGCACAGTACCTAAAGGTACTATGGAACCTCTGACTCATGTAGCATTTCCTGTGGATATCATATATTGCTTTACAGACCCAAAATAGGGGGTCACATCTGTACTTTATAAACAATAGAGGGGCTGGGGATTTAGCTCAGTGGCACAGCGCCTGCCTGGCAAGCGCAAGGTCATGAGTTCGATTCCTGGTACCGGGAAAAAAAAAAAAAAAAAACAGAAACAATAGAATAGGCAGAACACATCTACACATTAATGCCTCTTTTTTTACTGAAATTGTTAAAAATTTAATCTTCTTTTATATTCACCATTATACATTCAAACTAGCTTTTTCATTATACTTTCTTTTTTATTATACTTTCTTTTCTCAGTATCATTACTGATGGCTTTATATATTCAGTCTGTTCCAATTAATAAATAGCAATTTTGCTTTAAATTTTTTAAAAAAGTTTCTTAGTATATGTCTGCAGTAAAAATAATGATTACTTTCATTGCAAGGATTTGGTAAATATTTTCATTACACATATTAATTATTTTTACTTCCCCTTATTTTCCTCTCCCTCCCCCATAAAAAATAATAATTTTGAAACAAACTGTTACAAGTTGGCAGCTGGAAATGCCTGTAAAATGTCTCTTTCGCCCTTTAAGCTCTGTTGCTGACATCCTTGAAAGTATTCTTCTTGTTTAATAATAAAAATAAATAATAGCTAGCTAGTTGGAGATTTATTTATTGAAAATTTTTTTCTGAGCTGAACCTTAGAACCAACCACCCTATATGAAGTATACAATATATACATACTTATATTAGGAGCAAAAACTCTGGGCTGCCAGGGGCACACATGAACTTTGGTGTAGCCAAAAGTGCTACTGCTACTATTACTACCAAGTCACTTTTAGTGCAAAATCAGAAAGCAATCATTCCTTGTGAGGGTATGAATTCCTCTTGGCATTTTCCACTCAACTCCTCATGCTGCTGTACACTACGATGCCTGTAGTACAAAGATATGAGCAGCCACAGAGACTTTTAACTACACCCCAACACGATTAGGTCTCATTTGCCTCATTGCATCATCTATAAAACTGGTATATTCAAAAGAACATTTGGACCTTTGGATGAACTAATGTTTGTAAAATGCCTTGAAAGTTTTTAAAAAATCTTTTAATGTTTAGGCTATTGTGGTTTTCCTCATGGTAGTCCGCCTTGTGTCCTCTATGAGGTTAGTATCCTTTAGTTATTGGGGGGTGATCAGGTCTGCAATCTCCCAAAGGAGTGTACGGCAAAGGCTAAATAAAAAGAGGCAAATGGAATGATTTTACGGCTCCAGGAGGATCAAAGCTCTCTCACAGAATTCAAGATTCTCTTAGGGCTAACACCAAGACCTTCTCTGGTGGCCCTATTTATTTAGTTATCAGAAGAAGGGAGGGGAGTACTCAAGAAGGGCAGAACCACTGAAGGACTTCTCTAAGTAAGATATTAAATTAATCCACCCAGGAGTGAGATGCCTGAGGCTACAGTCTTTATCCAGCAGAAGTTGGATCCAGGTGTCCCTGGCTTTGAACTTGTCCTATCCTTTGGGGCTTTCTGGCTTCATTCACCATTACAGATTTTAGTAGGGATTAGAGATTCACAGAGGTTCACTTACTATGAGTCCATTTCTCACTTCCAAACATGCAGCATAGGCCTTGGACAGATTCACAAGTGATCATGAAAAGCCAGTTGATTCATTTAAGTCCTGCTCAGGGCTGCTTTGTAGTGGTCTCCATCAGTCCTCCAGGGTATATTTTTATCTTTATAAAAATTTGGCAGGGTCCAAAAAAAAAAAGGTGTTTAATAGGCAGCAAGTTTGCAACCAATGTTGACGATAGGTACAGATACAAACCTTATGATCATTTCCTTTTTCTGGTTAGCTATCCTTCTTGAGGGTGCTACAAGCTTGCCATTTTGTTTGTTTGCTTGTGACAAGATCTCCCTATGTAGTTCAGGCTGGCCTCGAATTCACTAAGTACCCCAGGCTGGCCTCAAACTTGTAGAAATCCTCCTAACTCAGCCTCCTGAGTGTTGGGATTACAGGTGTGCACCCCCATGCCTGGCTAAGTATGCCATGTTTTACAACTCAGATTCACCCTTGACTATTATTGTTAGGTATGGGGCTGGTATTTTGTGGATTTCTACATCAGATTCCCCGATACACTTTCATTTTTCCTTTTCTCTGGAAAACATGTGGGGTTGGCAAGTTACAAATATTCTCTTTCTTACGAAAGTAAGTCACTTCAAAATCTATGTGCATCTCCTCCACAAGGTAAAAACTACATTCATCTGGTTGAACATCAGTGTTCACAGATGGTCTCATCAGCCTTGACTGGTGTGGGGGATATAGTCATGGAGGAAAGAATGAGAGCAAAGAGCAAAGGACAGATTCCTAAAGGAGGAAGAGTATCCCTGCGCTCTGGGTAGTCAGCCTGAATGTGTCTAAAATGTTACACGTGATCTCTACCAGGAAATACAGATACTTTAGAGCAGCACTCTCTGCTAGAACTTTCTATGAAATTCAAATCTCCTCTCTGTCTGGACGATTCAATATGGTGGCCATTTGCCATACGACACTAGTGCCACTGAAGAACTCAGTAAATATAATCAATTTTATGGTTTAAATTAATTTAACTTTAGCTATATGTGGCTGGCCACTTCCAGATTGGACAGCACAATTTTAGGAATTTTCTTTGAACTACAGTGAAATAGTATATGGTACTTATTTAAAATTTCATAATTGGGAATGGGTCGAGAGTAGAAACTTGGTCTCTGCCTTTTTTATCCAAATGGATTAATTATATTATTTAATCAAGTCTCAGATTTTTTGCAACAAAAAGTGGAAATAATCTCTCTCATTTTTTAGGCTAGTGCTCCTCAAGTGTGGCCTCTGCATTTGTTTCCACTGGAGAAATCAAGAAGCTTCTATAGCGGAGCGTGTTGGTGCACGCCTGCAATCCCAGCACTGAGGGGCCTGAAGAAGGATGATTGCCACAAGTTCCAGGCCAGCCTGGGCTCTGCAGGGAGCTCAAGGCAAGCCTGGAGTACATAATAAGATCCTATCCCAAATAAACAAAAAGAAGCTTTTGTGGAAATTCAGCAGAGTAATTTTGGATCTTTTCAATCTGCTAAAATTTTATATGACACTCAAAATTTTCGCTCTTCTAACATTTTGTTGTATTGTACAAAATTAATCATTTACAACAGTTTGCAAATAAAGCAAAACTGGCCCTTTACCACAGATGGTTTGAGACTTACTGTCACAGATTCATTATAGGTAAAGGGAACGGTATGTGTTATGGGACACATAACATGACTGGCTGTTATTTTAAATGTCAGTCTTCTCATTTCTCAGTATCTTAAGTAATAAAAACAATCCTGTCTTTATTGGCTAGAAATTACATGTCTACTTTTACATTTTGAGAAAGACAACGGAAACCAGGCAAATCAATACTTGCAACATGATGTATAATAATGTATATACACGCACACACTAACACAGACAGGAAATCACTCAAGGAAAAAGGCCAGGTGTGAATAGATTTATGATGCAATGTGACTGCGGTCTTTTCTAAATGTCTGCATAGTGTTAAAGATATTACTACTGCTCTTCTAAATCCCATCTGCAAAAGTTAGCAATGTGGACTCCAAGTGTTCACCATCCCTGTTGCTTTAGCAGGGAAGTTTGAGTACTAATCTTGCTTCCTTAATTACAAGTACCTATTTCATTTATCTGTTGAGATCTTTTCCTAAGGAGTGTAATGAACGAGGCTCAGTGGACCAGAAATGGACTTCATGACTACGTGTATATTTAATTAAAAATAAAGTTGGTGATCATTCAGCATTAATAGTTCAGACATGAACTTTAGAAGTGAAAGGTAAAGAAGGTATAATAATGTTATGTTTACAGGGATAATTTTCTTTATCTAACATTTTGGGGATTTGAGAAGAAACTTCCATTTGTTGTTCTGGCCATTTGAATATATTCTCTGCCAGTTCCTCTGTCTCACTCATCAAAATATCCATCTTGGGTCATGCCTTGCTCATTTTCTCTAAATGCCCATCTAGATGAAGAAGATTTCTAATTGTTTCCATCTCCTGAGGGACCATCCCTTCGGCCACAAAGTGGTCCAGTGATATTGGGCTCTGACTCTGGGTCCAAAAGGTTGGCAGCATCTGTGGCTCAGACATGTGTCCTGGCAGTGAACAGTTCTGTCTTTGAATTGCTCAAAATGTAATCGCTCCAACTGATTCTGGGACCAGTTCCTGCGTGCCTCTTTGGATAGTCCTAAGGCATAATACGTTAGAATCATTATGGGTTAATGGCAAATTATACCAATCTACGGATTGTTTTACATTTTAAAATGTGTTGTTAATAATATATGGAAGAAAGAAATGTTACTCCCAGTGCTTAGGGAATATTACGTATTTGAGTGAGTAAAAGGACTTTTGTAATTGCATAACTGAAATATTTCCAATAAAACCTTTTAATTACAAAGTGGTCATTTATGAAATGGTTCTGTGAAGAACCTCAGAAAGTAAGCAGATGCTGAAGTAATGTAAATTGTACATTTAAAAACATAGAGGCTGCCAGGCATAGTGGTGCATGCCTGTAGTCCCAGCACTCAGGAGGCTGAGAAGGGGGATTGCTGTGAGTTTCAGGCCAGCCTGGGCTACACAGTGAGTTCAAGGCCAGTCCAAACTACACAGTGAGACCTTGTCTCACACATACATGTGTGTAACACAATAATGAAATATATATTTATAGCAAAACAACATATGATGAATTCTTATAGCACTATAGTTACATTGTACTGGAAAGAAATAATTTCTGAACAGTGAATGGTAGAAGTATGAAAAGAAATAAAAGCATATGCAGGAACTAGGGCTGACTGGGAACTCAGGAAGAGAGAACAACAGAAAATACCTGCAGGATGAAAGGACACTTGGAAAAACTGATGGGCTTTAGTAAAAACAAGGCTTGATACATGTTGTGATAGATTTTTGTTTAAAATCAATCTGTTATACACACGTACCAACTTCCTGTGATGCACTGAACCGTCATGTACCACGAACATGTACTCATACAAAACAAGAGACAAAAATTAAAACCTAGATGATTTTCTCCCATTTTCCCTCCCTTATGCTCCCCTTCCTCCACCTTCTTTAACTATCTGTGGGTATTTGACAACAAAGTAGAACTTCAAGCTCTAAGAATAGCTGTCATAAATTGCGTATGTGTGTACGCATGGCCACACACCTGCAGGAAGAGTAGCTTACAGTACGTAAGAATATTTCAATATTAGCAACATTCCCAATTCCTGCTCCCTGAAATGAACCATGGCAAGTATTTTGCTTTGGATAGTGCATCTTTTCAGGACACAGAGACCCTAGTGAGATTTCTCCTGGTGCCATACCAGTAAAGGAACAGAGTTCTTTGGAAGTTAAACTGTAAGAAGATGCCGTCGTGAATGGGAGCAGAGATGTGCGAATTCACCCCGCGGCACACAGTGGCCCACTGGGAGGTGAGAGCCATACCGAAGGTTTCATCCTAAAGATAGTTGTGAGCAGATGCCCTCGCTACTCACGCAGCAATGCAGAGGAAAGGCAGTGGCACAGGCCGGGGTTGGCACTGACCATCCCGCACAGAGTGTGGCCGCAGGGGCCCGTCGCTTCCTGTCTTGTGCGTTGCCATCTGCCGCACTGCTGGAGCTCTCTCTCCTGGGGAACAGGGTATGCGAAGATCCCAACTTGAGGTGCCAATAAACATTACAATCAAACAACCGACCCTTCTGATTCTGAGTCCGTGCTCAGCAAGCTGCCTTCTGGCTGCTTGGCTTTGGGTGCAGTTTGTCGACAGGGATGCTCTGACGAGTAGTTCCAGTCCACTCAACCATTCATTCTACACTGGATCTTGGCCAAAAGGCTGAGAAGCGATCAGTCATTCACTTTAGGCTGGAATTCTGGCAGATTAGGTTTTTATCCCTGCCTGTCTGAAGCCCATCTTGCAAAATGGGCCCATGGTTAGCGTGAGGATGAAATTAGATTTCTTTCCTTCTCTCACTGAGGACCAGATCACAGACCATGGTGAATCCATTGTAGACAAGAGCACCCAATGGGCTCTTGCCTGTCAATCAGTGTCTTCCCAATAATAACTTCCGGCATTCTCTGGGCCAAATGTTCGTAACACTCGGGTTCTTAATCAGACAATTACTTGACTTCTTTATATTTAAACATTCTTGATATTAAATGAGCGTGGTGGGTCCTGTAATCCTAGTATTCAGGAGGCTGAGGCAGGAAGATTGCCATGAGTTTGAGGCCAGTCTGATTTACATGGTGAATTCAAGGCCAGCCTGGGCTACCTAATGAGACCCTGTTTCATTTATTTTTATTTTTATTTTAAAAATAAAAGGAGGAAAACATTAACAGACAGACAACCTTTTACAAAATAGCAAAAGAACAGTACAGACAATACAGTTACAAACAAAGTGGTAGGAAATTAACAAGGCTTGTTGTATTACATATTGATATCTTCAAAGTGGTTTCTCATGAAAACAGATGGAGACATGCAACATTGAACAATCAAAGACTCATTGACAGTTTCTTTCAGCAAAGAAATAGAAGACAGTAGAACAACTATGTTAGCTATCCTGTATATACATACATACAAAATTTTTCCTTTCCCTTCTCTTTTCCCACATCCCAGTTGCCCTTTACCCTTGAGCATTTTCCTATGATTTCACAGTGTCTATCATACCTCTGAGTTTAAATTAACTCTTTCAGGTTTTACACTAGTGAAACAATGCAGTGCTTGCACATTCATGTCAGAGACTCTGTTTTAAAAAATAAAATAACATAAAATAAAGTAAAGTTCTGGTTATTATTTTAGAACAATGTTCCAAATGACACTATTTTGGAAACTGTAAAAGCAGTGTGAGGATCAGAATTAATCAGAGTTGTAATTAAAAAGTTTGCAAAGTAAGAGCGACAAAGAGCACATCTGAGCAAAGATGGCGTCTTCAGGAACTGCCTCAGGCTGGGCTTCTTCCTGTGCCTGAATATGTGGGTTACTCTTGTCTTGTTGCTGAGACAAAATACCTGACACCCAAATTAAAGAAGGAAAGGTTTATTTAGCACACATTTTGTAGAGGTTTCAGTCCATAATCAGTTTGCTCCAAAGCTGGATGGCATGGCACAGGGGCAATAGTTCACAGCAGCAGAAGACAGCAAAGGCAACAAGAGCAAAAGGGGAGGGGGAACAAGCCTCTTTCCCTCCCTTATATTGTAAGCAGGCTACCCCCTCGGGAGGTGTTGCACTCACACCATCTCTATGCCCTCTTCTTGCACAATGAAGACATTTACAAAGGGAGGACCTGGCCCCCTGCTGAGTCACTGAGTTAAGCTTCTAGACTTCTCACGTTGACACAATGTATCAACCATTACAAATCACCCCTTGTCAACTCAGCAACCAGACACCGTTCTTTAAGTTGGTTTCCAGATACAAAGACATGCTTATCTTTATCATTTTACAGCTTGAACATTATAAAATGGGTTTAACAATCCTTAAGAACCAGTACTAAGTCTATCAACATTACATTACATTACAGCCATAATATTTTGCCCCTGGCCCCACTAAAGACTCATGCTCATCTCTTTATGCAAAAGGCATTAGTCCATCTCTAAGAGTTGCCAAAGTCCTACCAGTTGCAGCATTGCTGAAGAGTCCAAGTCCCAAGTCTCCTCCAAGATGTAAGGCAAACTCTTAGCTGCAAGCCCCTGTACAAATGAAAAGTTAAACACTCCCCATATTTAATAGCACAAAATAAACATTACCATTCCAAAAGGTACAATCGGGTATACAAACCATTGGGACCACAGCAAGTCCAAAATCCAGCAGGGCTAACATTAAGTCCTGTAGCTTTATGTGCAGCATCTAAGGCAATCTGTGACAAGTTGTGAGCTCCAAAGGACTTGAGTGGCTCCACCTCTGTGGCACTTCTGGTGGTTACAGCTCCATGGCTTCTTTCCTGGGCCCACTTTGCTCCCTCCTTGCAGCTTTCCTTAGGTGATCCACGTTCCTTGCTTCTTCAAACTTGTGGGATCACCACTGCACCTTTGGCTTCACCCTCATGGCTTCACATACTGTCCTCTCAGGGGCACACTCTCTGGCCTCCCAGGCCTTTGAAATCTGGGTGGAAACCTTTTTAATCTCACAATTCTTGCATTTTGC